GTCGTCATAAATCATGGTGAAAAGTCATCAAGAGACATGGTGAAAAGTCATCATCAATCATGATGAAAAGTCATCATGCAACATGGTGAAAAGCCATCATGCAACATGGTGAAAAATCATCATGCACCATGATGATTTTTCATCAACCTTTCCGTGCTTACGGCGGGCCATAAAAAATAACGTAAAAGTTTATGTTTAATTTCGAATGGTGACTATAAATTTGAAATTAAAATAAACACCCACTAGCCGTAAAAAATATTAGTTTTTTTTATTTATATATGATATGATATTTGATTTGTTCACCATAAAAGGATGTCTTTTTTTGATATCTCGAAAATGAAGATTGGGATTAAATTATTTAATCTAACCATAATTCCCAATTTGGACGAAAAACTCTCGGATACTTTTAGTACTAACGTCTAAATTTTTTTGGTTCAAACTTCACTATTTTTATCATTTCTCTTTTTGTAAGAAAAAAAAATTTTATCTCAAAAAATTAATTTCTTGAAAATTCCCGATATTTCAATTAATGTTATAATTATTTTAACTTTGAAAAAAAAAATACGATCATCATAAAGGAAGAGAGTAGTAGTAATGTAGTAATCAGAATCCAAGCAATATTTAAATGTAAAGAAATAGTCTGAGTTTTAGAAAAATATCAAATGGTTCTTATCAAAAAAAACTATTCCATCCATATTATTTAAAGATGAACTGTACATTTGTGANGGAAAAACCTAAAACTAATCAGGGCTATCATCATCCGCCGATACTTGTATATTATGGTTAGTAAAACTTTAAATAATAAAAAGAAAACTTTTACAATTCCATCGAAAAAAAAAAAAAACTATTTCATCCATCTTATTTACTAATATGAACTGTAACATTCATGTCTCATTATTTATATAAATATATCAAAATTGAAACATAATCGTGGTAACTCAAAAATTTTCAGGGCCTACTTTATTTGTAAGTGATTGGCTTAAATTATCCGGTAGGTGATGCGGCACCAAATTCCCATGCGTCCAAATATCTAAATATCTTAAAAAAGGAAAATGAACTGTTAGTAACAGTTCATTATTTTTAAAAAAATGAACTAAAATCCCAAAATTTGGAGAACTATCTAAAAAAAAAGAAATAAACAATCAGTAAACGCTTGTTAAATAAAAAAATCAAAGTAAAAAAAGGAAAAAATATTTACCAAAATCCGCATCCATAGAGCTGAAGATATGCCTAAAAAAGGGATGGTATGCTTAATATTTTGTTAAAAATACTAATAATATTTTAACATACTTCTGAAATGCCTATAGCTTAAAAAAAAAGCGGATCTGAAGATCAGTAATTGGTTTCACAATCACAGGTTTTTGCAAAGATAGAAATAAACAATTTATTTAATTTATTAAAAGACAATGTATTTTATATAATAAAATTTTTGATTACTACATTTCTGTTTTATCCCGACATAGATACATTGTGAGACGTTCACAATGCCAACTAACATTGTTTTGTGAAAGTTGCAGTTACTTAAAGTAATATAGATTATTTGATATTTGTAAGTAATAATTACAAGGAGAAATTAGTAATGATTCACATTTATAAAATGAATTAAAAGATAAGCCAATAACATAATTTTTAATTATTGATTATATATTATGTGTTAAGTATTAGGTTCATTAATTTATTAGATAGTAATCATAGATTCATATACTATTAGTTTCGCTGTTTATTTTGACGCATCCCGTATTTCCAATATTTAAACTTCGTGTACCACTCAAAATTTTCTAATAATACCTAATTTAGCATATTTTTCAATGATTTTCATATTTTCATCATTTTCTGTAAAGGTATAAACATTCATATCACGATAAATAATCAAAGAAAGTGATTTTTTCGATTCACGATTTACCAATTTGTAAAAAAAAGATTCTAATTGAATTGGAAGTAATGTTGATCTTGTATCAACTGAATAATTTAATACTAAATTTACAAAAATCTTTAGGTGAAAATTTAACAATAACATCAAATAAATTTCTTTCACTAAAATAACCTTTACACCGAATTTTAATATATTCTAAATATTCCAAAACTTTCAAAAAACATTTTTAATATTTCCAATTCATCATTTTTAATTCCAGTAAAAAAGTTTTCTAAGATTTGGGTAATATTTAATTATAGTTAAAATTTATTGATTTATTACTCTTTTTAATATAAAATTTTTTTAAATTTCTTCCATTATTCATCAAGAAATTTATTAATAATTCATTTCTTGGATAAACATTATTAAATTTTAAATATTGTAATTTTGAAAATTTAATATATTGTAATTCATTAAATTCTTCAAAAGGAGATTTATTATATGATAAAAATCTAAAAATAAGTTCTTGTAAATTTATAAATTTTGAAATAAATGATAATGGAATGTAATGATTACATAATATAATCACATTATTAGAAATTATTTTTAATGAAGCAACAATTATATAACTTATTGAATCATCACAATCATAAGGTAGAAATATTTGTAAATTTTTTAAATTTTGTTGAACAGAAATTAAATCTTTTTAATCCATTTGAAATAACTTTTGTAAATGTTATATCAAATAATTGTATATTATGACATATTTGAGATGATTGATAAAAAAATTGAGGACAAATATCTGAATAACAGTGTAGTTCTGAAAGATCTTTTAAACAATCACTCGCTCCAATATAAAATGTTTGATCTTGATAAATAATTTAAATTCAATTTTTTTATAGAAGAGATTTTCATAAAAAATTTAAATACACAAATACATAAATATTGGTCCAAATTTCGAGGAGAAATATATTGATTGTTGTTCATTAAAAAATTGTTTAAGTTCGCAATTAAATTTACAGATTGATAGAATTTTACAAAATGATGCATAATTAAACGTTGGAAGTTTTGAAGCTAAGGATGAAGTAATAATATTCCTATCATATAGAATTTCTTTTAATTCATTTGGAAGACAAGAGTTTAAAGTACCGTAATTCCTAATATTACTCCTATAAATTTTAATAGAAACTTTCACACCAAAGGTGATTGACTAATAAACATGAATACAGAGTAACTTATCGTGTTCTAAAAAAATTTCATTAAGGCAATCAACATTAAGTTGAGACATTTTAATAAAGATGAGGAGAGAAAATATTTGTGTTTGCCACATTTCCATGATCAAGTTTGAGTAACTGGCTGAAAAATGAAAATTCTTAAATGGTCCAGGTCATTAAGTGTAATAATTAAGTTTATTCATACTAAATCCGCAAAATGATTAACTTAATAATATTTTTGCATATTAAGAAAAGTTGACATAGTTAATGCAAATTTTACAGTAAATAATATAATTATTAGTTGGGACTCTAAAGAAAGATTATTATAAGATTATAACAAAAAAAAATAAAATTATTTTAATTAAGCTTTATCATTATTATATTACGTTTATTTAACTTTGTAGCACATTCATTGGCTTATTATCATAAATTTTGGTATCAACACTTCCTTTCTTAGTATTCAAATGAATTCACAGATGAATTTTAGTATATTCCCATTATTTTACAAGAAATTTTATAAAGTTTTTACATATAAAGTTGATTCAATATATCTTACTTTTTTATTTTTGTCAAAAAGAAAAAAATAATTGATAAATCTTTTGATAGAAGAGATTCTTACAATAGAAAAAAAAATATTTAGCTTACAAAATATTTGAAAATTGGAAATGTTCTTTTTGTAAACAACATGATGAAACTTTTGATTATGTCTGGATTTGTGAATCACATAATGCAGAAATAGATAACATTATTTGAGAAGTTAAACAATTTTTTAAAAATAGTTGTAACTCATTGTTAATTGAAGCAGGTTAAGATCTGATTATTGATGATATTCTTATTAATCAAATGAGTTACTGGGATTGAGATTATAATGAATCAAGGTTTACCTTTATAGATCTAATTAAAGGGATAGTTCATCATCATATATGTCATTGATATTTAATAATTGAAATATATAGGTAATTTTATTATGAAATTTTATTTTTGAAAAAAGTTGGAGCTTTTGGATTGATAGATGCATGAAGCAAAAAGAAAAAGAAAAAGATTAAAAATTAATCTTAAAAAAGTTAAAAGAAAATTATAACGAGGATGAATATATTAATTTAATAGAAAAATTAACACTAATAACCTTTATAATGGTTTAGATAGTTTATGATCAAATATTTATTTTGGTATGAATGTACAGGATTTTATAGTTTTAGTTAACTATACTTTGTCTTTGTTTATATATTTTTAGGAAGGTTAGTAGTTGAACGGTGTTTAGTGGTATTAAGGAGTTGAAATAAAAAATTAATTTTATCTTAGGAGTCAGGTTTTTAGAGCAAGGTTGATAGAATATCTTAATTGTATATTACTTTAGTAGGTTTCAAATCCAGGTTAAAACTTAGATAGAAACTAATTAGTTAGTACTCGTTAATTTAGAATCAGGTACCTGCAGCTATTATTATAAAATTTTATATGTTTGTATTGTTCTTTATAAATTTATTCGCTAATAAAAAATAAAAAATAAAAATTTAGTTTAAAAAAAATGATATTGTGAAGATTACAACTATCTATCAGAAAAAAAATAAAGAAAATCTTTTTCAAATCGAATTTGATAATCAGGAACAGTATAATAAGTTTGTGGACACCAAATTTAAGTTTATGGAAAATAAAGAACCAATCAAATTTCAAGTTAAGGATGCAGCTTATAGAACTGAAAAATTGAAAGCAAAAGAAATGCAGAAATCTTATATGATATAGGTTTTAGGTATCCCCTAAACTATAAGCCATATGAAATCTGTGTGGTGAAGAATGTATAGATCATTTTTATTCCCAATGGAGTTGTTATTTGGAACAGCATACAGTTAAAGTGAATAGTTCCATTATTATTAAATGATGAAAGCAGAGAAGAAAAATATGTGTTTGCACTTAAACTTACTGGTTTACCCTTTGGAATGACTGGAAGAGAAGTGAATGAACTTCTTAAAGGATCAGATGCTAAAAGTGTAGTTATTCCCAGAAATCCTAAGAATTATAATTTATTGAAATATGCAATGGTATACTTTCCTAACAAAGATGTTTTAAGTGAAGCTGCTAATTTAAAACTCAATATCAAAGGCAGTAGTGTTTTTAGTTCAATTTAAATGAAAAAGCCTGCCACACATGTGGTTCACCTGCTTATATTGCTAAAGATTGTGATAAAAAATAACAAGTCAAACCTAAATATTTGAATAAAATATAAGTGCTTAGTCAATTCAATAATAAAAGAAATCTTTCTTCCTACACAAATGCAGCTAAAGGAGGTAATAATAATAAAGATAACAACAATATACTGTAATTCAAATTATAGTTGTAAAGAATGGAATAAACAAAAATTATTCATAATAATCCTTACATGGGTAATAAAAATGGCCATCGCCTAACATCAACATCAAAAAATATGATTTAGTGAAACCTTGATGATATTCAAGGTATATAATAAATCAATTGTTTGCACAATTCCAATCACTTCAAGTAGATAACATTATTCAAGAGTAAGTCTTACCTTACCATCTTACCTTTCATTCATTGTACTAAGTGGTTTTTTAAGTTCTTATGCTTGGTCATGATTCTACACTTTACAAAAAAAAATGGATAAAAGATCTGGTAATGAAATTTGTAGCACCTTTCAGATACCTAGTTTTGCACTATTTTCAAAAGATAAAAATAAAAATATGTACTTTAGCAATGATATTTTATGTAGAAAACTAAGGAATGCCATACCCTTCAGATCAGAGGGAATTATAGTAAAACCTTCATGCTATCATCCAATTTTAGTTGTAATGGTGTGGGATGTGATTTCTTTACTATGGATGAACTACATCTGTTGGCCTTTCAAAACAATGTCATTAAGGGATCAGAAAGATTATCTCGCCAAAATGTTGGTTCTTTTGAGTGTCAAAATTTCAATGATGGAGGGAGAGAAAAAGAAGAAAGTATTAAGTCTTCTGACAACTGTAAATTTAATACTTTTAACAAAAAAACTATAATGAAAGAAAAAAAGACAGAGATGAACAAGAAATATAGAAAAATATATGTTGTCATCGATTTACTGTAGAAGAAAACTGATTATGACAATGAAGAGTTATCAACAAAGAACCTTCAAGCAGTGAATTCAAGAACAGAATTGATACTGGCATTAAAAATGGTACACCTTGAATACTATTCTAACCCAATAAGAGTCCTTAAGATGCAGGCATTACTGGAAAATTGCTCAAAAATGATGTCTTAGCATACACTATCCAGAAAGAGAAAACCTCAAAAAAATGTGTCATTTTGTATTCCTCAATAAAAGTGGTAAACAAGATGACAATTGATTTATATTTAAAATGCCAATGAATTATGAGAGTGATAGATCATGATCTTGGTGTAGCAAAAATCATCCTGTGGTAATCAAACAGTCCAAAAATGAATCAGACTGTCATAATATCACAACATCTTTTGGTTTGAAGATTATCAACAATAATGTTAAAGTATTACATCTGATATTGAAATTATTAAATAACACAGCATCCAATCAGTTACCAATCGGTCACCAATCAGATAGCTGATTGGTGACTAATTGATGACCTGATTTTTCACTTTTTGACCTGTGTGATATGGTTTCAACTACATTATAATTATCAGTGACCATATGGGTTTTTATTTATGAACTGTTACGGTCATGTATTCAATTAAAATGATATGAGTGAATTGCTTTGGCCACTTGGCAAGATAGTGAAATCTAAAATTGGCTAGTTGGCATGGATTGTAGACTCTAATGGAACTGTTGTTGAAATTGAAGCTAGTATATGTGAATTTTTCTCATTTTTTTAATGGTCATCTGAAAGGGAAGGCCATAATCCAAAATATGTTCATAGTCTCTTTTTCTCTTTACTTCTTAAATGAATACCCTTTTAAATTTTTATCTGTTTTTTTTTTTTTCAGTATCATCAGAACAACAATGTAATAACCTTTTAATTGCAATAAATACTAGTCAAACAATGTTAAATCGGGACTAATCAGGTAACCGAATTTCACCCGATTGGTCCCTATTTTTTTAAAAATTTTCATCAATTGGTAAACCTGATTGCTGCCAAAAATGGCGTAAAAGAAGGATACTTAGATACCAATCGAGATATTCAATAGAGTACAATTGGATATAAATAGTTACTAATAGGATATTTACTATTTGTAGAGTTTGGATCCGTTATCCAGTAGGACTTTCAGTAAAATTGTAATTTATAATTACGAATATGTGTTTGAACCAAAAAATTTTGGAATAAATATTCTTTGCAGAATTGATAGTTTAGTCATGAAATTAATTTCAATTTTATGTATAGTAATAGGCTCGCTATACGCAAATTACATTTTGGATATCCGATATCCGGATATCCGTCGGATATTAAATTCTAATTCCATTACTCCAACATTACGAAATGAATTTTTTAAACTTTTATCATTAAGGTTGATCATTGGCTTAATGACTACCCGCTAAACTATTTAAATCTTCAGATATTTATTTTTAAATCTGAATAATCATCCAATTTATTAATATCCGTTCAAACAACGGATCCAAACTCTAACTATTTGATATATCAGTATACTGATTGAAACTTATTGATAAATTTATAACAATAAAAATCTTCTAATTGCATACGTTTTTATTTATATTTTACAATAATTTTATTTAATAGTTTAAATTTATTAATATTATAATTTAATGCTATTAATACTATTATATTTTTCTTATACTTTCAAAGCTTTATCTGGGACCCAGTATCCAGGTTGGAGCCAATTCTCTACAAAAGAAATAAAAAAACATTAAAAAAAGTTTTTTAAAAAAAAGTTTCAAAAGTTAAAACTTACCTATAGGATTCTAGTATATACATCAGAGCTGATTCCTTATAATACAGAGGCGATCAAAATTATCCAGCCACTTTGTTTTGGCAAATTTATGCTGATCATGATGTAATAACATGATGTAATCAATACATTATTTTGTATTTATAATCATGATAAATATACCCTTTAACTTCATATTTTCTAGAACTTTCTAAAAATATGAAGCCACTTACCCCAAAAACGTGTAGCACAATTGTTTATGGGCATAATTGTGGACAATCAAGTCGTCACACGTCGAATGACCAAAAACAGGCAAAAAAAATGGCTAGAATTGCATAAACTATTTGCAAATTTATATAAACTATTTACAAATAGTATAGGTTAATTCACAAATAGCCAAAAACAGCCAAGAATAGCTAAGAATAGCCAAGAATAGCCACTGCTTTTCGCGCCATTTTTTTTGCCGATTTTTAGCATTTCGACCTGTGTGTATAATTGCTAAACAGTTGGAATGTGGGAAAACAACTGTTAATGATATACTTAAGCACTTTCATGAAACACACTTCTTAACACCAAAAACACAAACTGGTCGTCCACCCCTTCTTAATTCACCAGCTCAACAAGAGCTTAAAGAATTTGTTCAAGAAAATGGTAAAAACTGCTGACTTTACACGAAAAAGCTTGCTACAGTATGGACAGCACGTACAGAACAACCTGTTTCTGCTATTACTATACGTCGTAACCTTAAGAAAGTTGGGCTAACAGCTTGTATTCCTTGTAAAAAACCTGCACTGTCGGAAGCACATTGTCAGGCTCGTCTTGAATGGGCTCATGCGCATGAAAATTGGAGTGCAAGAAAATGGAGACGTGTGCTTTTTTTCTGATGAAAGCACTTTTACACAGTTTCAAAAAGAATGTCAGGGAAAGGTATGGCGTGAACCTGGGGAAGAATTAAATCCTGACTGTATTTCAGTTACTGTAAAGCATAGTCCTAGCAAAATATTTTGGGATGTTTTTCCTGGAATGGACTCAGACCAATTGTTCCATTAAATGATTCAGTTACTGGTCAAACACATATGTTGTACCTACTTTACAAAGGCATTTTCCACATGGTAATGGGATTTTCCAAGAAGATAATGCCTCACCATATCATTCAAAGGTTGCTACAGCTGCATGCAAAAATGCTGGAATTGTGGTGCTTGATTGGCCTGCCCAAAGTCCTGATCTCAATCCAATTGAGAACCTTTAGGCAGAGATAAAAATGATAGTTCGCCGTCATACACCACCACCATCTAATATTAAAGTGCTTGAAAAATATGTTAAAGATACGTGGAAAGATATTCCTCTGGAATATTATAAAAATTTGGTTAATAGTATGCCTAAGAGAATTGAGGCAGTTATTGCTGCAAATGGCAATAGAATTAATTATTAATTTTTAGGGTGATTTTAACGCTCACCAGTGGTGAAATTCACCAGGGGTAAATTCACCAGCGGTGAAATTCACCCAAGGTAAAGTTCACCTATATTACATAATTTATTAAAATTTAAATTGTTTTGTTTTGAAAAAAATAATAATTTTACTAATAAAAATATTTATATAAAATATATAGTTTAAATATAATAATATATTATACAATAATTCATAAGTAAGTATTATTATAAAAAATGAATAAATCTTACAATATTAAGTAGATTTTATATTGCTAAAAAACTTTCAATTAATAAAGGAAGTAAATTTCATTTGACTAAAGTGGTGAAATTACGCTCTAAAGTTAGTAAATGGAAAAAAGAAAAATTCGAAAGTTAGTACCATTATGAAAAATGTAGATTTCTCCATATGTATTATACCTACACCCATGAAAATTAATATACAAGTAGTTTCAACCTTTCTGAACAATTTTCAATTAAGTTAGAAAGTCGATTCCATTTGACTAAAGTGGTGAAATTACGCGCTGAAGTTAAGGGTAGAGTGTTTTAGTCGATCAAGTCATAATAAAAATAAACTAAAAATTTTAGGATCAGATGATGGTACATATTATCGGATAATTTACTGGCATAATGTTTTACCCAATTAAAATCGGTTATTTTTTTATTTAGAGTAAAAAAAAAATTATTTTTGACGACTTCTAACACTATAAATCCAACTTCCTATACTTGCCCTTTCAACAGCATTTTCAGTTACACCTATGTAAATAAGATTACAGGTTATTTGGGAAGTAGGAGTTGGCTTACTAAGCTTGAATTTGACTTCGACCAAGTCACGAATTACAAGATCTTCAAGCAAGTATGCAACTTCTTCTTGTCTTTTAAGAATACGGTTATAATTTTCTTTATAAATATCTAAATGGTTTAAATTTTTTTTTATAACTGACGCGTTTTTTGACCTGCAAAAAACTTGAACAATATCATCACGGGTTGTGTTCTCGTTATTGTTTTTCATATAATTTGTAACTGCATCAATCACTCGCAACATGTACAAAGCATCTTGGCGTGCATCTTGAATTATAGGACAATGACTTTGACGATGTAAACAGTTATCACACTTTTCACAAGGTAAGGCTTCTTCATCACCAGCCCAAGAATAGTATTGCATAAGTAATTTCTGGCGGCATTCATAGTGATTCACAAAAGAACATTACCTCTAAAATTTCTTTTGTCTTTCTTCAAGATACTCTTGGTATTCTAAATCATTTGTCGAGCTAAATTGAATAAAATGAAACAATATTAATGTAGAATTGATATTGAAAAAGAAATAAAAATAAAATCCAAAACCTTTCTTCGCCTGCAACAATTCCATACACAGTTTTGATATCTTGTCGTGAGTAATAAATGGTATGTTTTGCTTCTCTTCTATCACGTCCTGCCCTTCCAGCTTCTTGAATAAGATTTCCTAAACATAGAAATGTTAATAATTNAAACGTAATACAAACAAAATTAATATAAACCTAAAATTATCATATTACTGGTGAATTTCACCAGAGGTAAATTCACCCCTGGTGAATTAATTTTAAATTAACCACTGGTGAATATAAAATTAATCCTTTAAATTTATTTTTTTTGTAATTTGCAGAAATAACAGAATATGGAAAATTTTATTAAACTGTTACAGCTGCAATATAATGAATTGAATAAATAAGTACAATTGAAGAACTCTTTTATATTCAGGGTAAATTCAAAAAGAGATTTATATTCAAATTATAATGTTTTTCATATAATGGTAATATAATGAAACAAAAAACTAATTTATAAATTTTATATATTGTACAACAAAGTTTAAAAGTTTAATTTTATTTAATTAATATAAATTCCAGATATTTAATATATAGGTTACTTACTATAATGAATTTTTGGTTAAAATCATCCTTTTTTACTAAAACTCAAAAAATAAAAACTACAAAATAAAAAAAAAGTTCATTAAAATTGGACTACTAGATGCCAAGATATATGCAAAAAAATGATTTTTTGGATTGTTAAAAATGGGCTAATTTAGGATTTTAAATAATCTATATATAAGTCAATATTAGAACTTGCTTATTAATTATCAAAAAATTGCTTATTTCAGAGTATTTTTAAAATTTTAAACTACATACTCTATTTTATTTTAACTAATTAATAATTCAAATTTAATAAAATTTATATCATTAAATTCATTTAATAAAAGGAATTCAATAATAATAATTTTATTTTTCTAGCTTTAATATTTACTGATTTTTAATTGATATTGATAAAAGATATTTAGAATCCTACTAATTTGCTAAAATATGGAATTTATAATTTATTTTAAAATCCTATTAAATATCAATTAAATTATTATAAATTTACTAATTAATTCTTTTATAATCATACTGAAATTCTAAATATATATTATATATTTCTTTTAAATTATTAAAATTTTTATATATAATTAGACTTTTTTTATAATTATTAGATCAGATTAGAGTTTTAATTAATTTGATTTGGTTCAATTTTTGCAAAAACTAATACCAAATTGAATTTATAGTATCAGTATTAAAGTTAATTAGTTTCAATAATTACTAATACTAATATTAGTCAATTTTTTTATAATCTGTTTTTAAACTAGTAAATTTTACTAATATTTTTTAGAAATATCACATTCAAACAATTTGCATACACTTACAAAGGATAACGAATAAATATCAAACTACTCAAAAAAACTAAGTCGCTAAGATAAATATAAATAATGCAAATATAACTATCAATTTTATTACAAAAAAACTATAGTTGACTAAAAAAGAGTTTAGCTGCAATTTTATTAAATTTATATATAGTTTTATATTTTTAATATACATCTTTACAGAAACTTCAAAATCGTAGCGATAGCTTAATGCGCAGTAACTGTATTATAAATACATAATGTCCACATTATGTAATCTTAAAGAAATTACATATATGCAGTTACTGTGCATTAAGTCATTGCTACAATCTTGAAGTTTCTGGTAAAGATATTATAAATAAAAACTTAAAGAAAATAACCATACATTTTCAAAATAAATATTATTTTGTATATTTTATAAATTGTAAGTATTAAAATATATTGCATCTTTTGTAATTGTTACCAGCTTTCTTTTTGTTAATAAAAACAAATTATTATATACTTTAAAAAATAGTTGCCTTTAAAATTATAGTTAGATTTTAGAAAAAGTGATAAGATAAAAGAATATAAAGATTTATATAATGATATATTATTGGTTATAAAACTTCTGAAATTGAAGAATTTAATAAGTGATAAAAATTTTTATAGAATCAAAAATTTTAATAAAATTTATATTAAAAAATGTCTTAAAACTTAAGTAATAAATAAATTTATTTAAACAATTATTTTAATTTTCTTTAAAAAAAATATTTTTTACTATTAATATATTAGTGTATTAACTTTTTTGCATTAAATTATATATTAATTTAAAATTTATTATACAAAAATTATATAGTTTTAAATATTAAAATTTAACCAATATTTTTTTTTTAAAGAAAATTAATCAATAATTTTAAAAATTATTGGATACCTTTTACAACTGATTGATTGTTAATATAAGCTATTAGTTAAGTATAAAAGTAATGTACTGTATTATATTATAAATTGATTTTTTTTATAAAGTCATATAATATATGTATACTGTATAAATTAAAAAATTTTCTTAAAATTATATGGCATTTTAATTTTAAATAATTTTATTTTAGATTTATTGTTAAAATTATTTTATGATAAAAATTACTAGTAGTAATATTTAAAATTAAATGGAAGATTTATTAAAAAAAAAATAATCAATATATAAATAATTGATACTATTATATAAATAAAATAAAAATATTGACTTTACTAAAATATACCACTAGTGCTTAACATTATTTCACAAAAACTATGCCCTAAATCAAAGAAGTTGATCTAATTAAAATTGCTCAGTACCTCAAAAATGGTTGACAAAAAGTATTTTTTATGCTGTAAATCTTACAAAATAAAAAATATATGCTGCAGCATTAAGTACTGTAATGTGAAATATAATTATTACATTAATAGTATCAGTTTAACCATATTATTAATAATATAGAATAAAAAGTTAGTGTAACAACAAAAAAATGCATAAATCATATAACTACGGTGTTAAAGACTGTGATGTGAAATATAATTTTTGAAAAATATTATATACACTAAAAATAATTAAATAATTTACAATTATTTTAATCATCAATTCCAATAGCACCTCTATTTCTTCTTCCAATATTAGCTAATAAACCTTGTTCCTCTTCGCCAATATCATCATCCAAGTCATCATATAATGCATTATTAGGTGATCTAATCATAGCATACATAAATCCGAGTAGTGCAACTCCTAAAAATCCCCAATGTGCATAATAAAATATTACTCCAAAAAATGGTGCATTAAGTGTTATACGATGAATAAACGTAGATATTACTGTCGGGGTACAAATATCTTTAAAATATATAAGTTAATTAGTTATTTAAAAAGAAATATATAAAAATTTTATTCTAATTTACCTGTTGGTGCAGTAACGTCGCATGGTACAATTAACTGTGAATATTCAGTACAATTGCGATCCCCATTTATTGTATGATTACACTATAAAATCAAAAATAATGAGTAAAATTATATAAATTATCAGATAAACATAAGTAAACTTACGTATTTTTGACTTCCAAATTGAGCATATTGAGGAACAACCACCATTGTCAAAGTATAATTAAGAGCCAACAAACTTAGCATAAACAATATAGCGCCAAATAACAATCCTATTAATAAAAAATGGACAGTGATTATATAATTGTTTACAAATTTCAGTTTCGTGAAAAAAAAGTTAAATGCTTACCTTGAGGCGGCGTAGAACTTTTTCGGAATCTATAAAGATGTACCCAAAAGAAGCGAATTCCAAGTGAAATAACTCCATATACTGTACTAATGAAAAAATACAGAATAAGGAGTACCATGAAGAAATAATCGATCGGGAAATACTAGTGAGGGAAAATATAAGTTAAACTAGTGGATATAAAAAATAATAATATCGTAATATCATAAATAAAGATCAAAATACTTACTTTAGAAGCTTTAAGGAATATAAAATTAAGAGGATTAAAAATATCTGGATGATTAATTATGTATCCACATTCCTTCCCGCAAATCGAATTTTTGACTTTATCGATACTAAACAAAAAACGAATTTTCATGATTGAATTTTTGATAGTAAATAAATGACACAATAACATAAAAAACTTACCAGGTTAAGAATATTGACATAAATATTACAGCTGTCAATATAGTTAACATAAAACCGATTATTAACTAATAATCCAAGCAAGTTAATGGGCCGTTATCATTTTATACACACGAAAAAATAAAAAATATATACCTCAAATGGCCTAAGAATGAACATAATCTTATTCCAAAATTGGCTTCTTGACTCTGTAGCTATTCTTAACTGACGAAGCAACACTCTGCAAAAAAAAAGGATATTAATCAACTTTATTAATTGTAGTAAATATGCGAGAAATTTTTGCTTACTTTTCTTCATTTCTCAAAATTTCAAATTGCTTTGCGTCTTTTCTAGACATTGTCTTAGTTGGGTCAGAATATTTTGCATTGATTATTCTTTGTTTTTCACGATTGACTTTGAGTAAAGAACTCAACTCCGAATTAGATACAGAGTTAATTTTACTTGTGCCTTTAATCATTCCGATCGGAAGAAGGGAAAGTCCTGGTGCCTAAGCATATTGTTAGAACGTCAAGAAATTTGAATAATTTAACGAATAAACAAACAAAATTAAAGATTATTCTATTCATATGCTTACGGTATAGCAAATAAACACGACCATTCCAAGAACCATAAGAATAGATATAACAAATGAGATACTATTCTCTCCGACTACAGAAAAATTAAATTTCTTTAATTCATAAATAATTATTTGTATGGATAAAAAAGAAGACTTACGACTCGAAGATAAAAGTTTTTTGAAAAAATCCAAATCGATTGGCGCTTTCTCCGTTGGTCGCAAAACAAATCCAAATAATAAACATATAAGAACAAATGCCACAAAGAATCCAGTGTATTTTAAGGCGGCCATAACACGCTATAATAAAAATAAAAAAGAAAACAGATAATCATATTCAGCTTTACTATTCCACACCACTGGTGCTCAAAACCATAAAGTGCATTTCACAAAACTATGACCTAAATGAACAAGTACTAATTGAAATTTCTCAGCACCCTCAAAAATGGTCAGATAAGATTTAATTAGCATTATTTGTTCTTATAATGTAAATTGGTGGTGAACACCATGGTGTGGAATATAATATTTCATGGCATTAACTAAAGAGTGGCATATTTTTATTATAAATATAATCACCTGCGAATTTGTTTGTTCCTCCTCAAGTTCTTCAAAATAAAAATATGCAAATGGAATAATAAATGCACAAAATATTGCGATCAATCCATATGATCCTAAAGATTCATAAAATTTTTATTTATAAATGGACAATACTAGTGAATGATACAATTTAAATTTGAAGTCACAACACACCATAATATACAAATTTAAGGTTATGGACAATTCCTTCTACAACTTCTTTAGTAGCCCATTCGTGTTTAAGTCCTGTATGTAAATCAACTGTACTTGAAACCAAAAATATGTCTACGGGGAATAAAGCAACTGTACTTAAACATAGTGCTAAGGAACAAATTGCTACCACTGTAGCTAACCGTTCACTGTCATGTTTATCTTGATAGTAATTTGTGAATATAATACTAAATACGAATAAAACCTGAAGAAAGAGTAGGTAAAAGTGTAAGAAAGTATGTGTATAACAATGTAAAAAATTCTCTCACAAGAAAACTTGGAAAACTTACGGCGCAGATAATTATATATATTGCCCAGGCACCAAAAACTAATACTGCCATTTTCTGAAGAGCAAATTTATTCAGTACAAAATTATCTTTTAGCCAAAGCCTCTATATTCTGCTAATTTAACTATTTTCGGTCAAATCAAAAGATTATCAATAAGTTGGCAAAAAATAAACAAATGACGCAAATGACGTACATTCAAGATTTGCACAAACATGGCACGTCTCGTGTTACAAATAAGTTAATGCTGATTTTGAGCCGATCAGCGATTCAAACTTTTAATCATGGAGAATATAGTTGAAGCATATAACAGTAGTTCAAGCGATAACGATTCGGAGATTAAACCAGAAATTCAAAAAAGAGAAGAAATTGATAACTCATCACAATTTTCGCGATCTCTTTCTTCTCAGCTTGAAGACACTTCTTTTAATAAACAAAAAAGAAAAAGATCAATATCAATGGAGGAAATGGATGTTTCTACTAATATGAAAGATTCGATTTCACAAAAAAAAGTTAGGGGATATATATCTAAACGAGAAAAATTAAAACAAGAAATTGAATCTAAAATAAAGGAAAAATGTTTGTCTACAATAAATGAGGAAGTCTGTAGGACGAGTTCTCAGATTGGTACATTACTAAGTATACCTAACAAAATTAGCTCAGCATTAGAAGGTACACAAGACAAAAGTAAACCACCGCATTTTAATACTGTTCCAAAACGACAAATTATTTATCTTGATACTAAACACGTCAATGGGGTGAATTCGATTTTATGGTGCGGTTCATTTGGTGAGCATTCCATATAAAACTTTAAAGTTAGATTGATTTTAACAACTTTGATATTGTTAAGGTCAGATATTGGCTTCAGCTTCTATGGATGGTACAGTGCGAATATGGGATGTATTTAGATCAAAGAAATGTGTTCAAGTATTACACCACGATGGTAGTGCACTTGAATCTTCTTTTAAGTTTTGTTATTTTTTCGCGGTGTTTCCATTTTATTGTTATTTTTTTATTTACTAATTTCAGGAGCTGTAAAAGATATCCAATGGAATCATAATCGAAACAATATTCTATCTGGAGGATATGATAAGATTGTAAAATTAACCGATATTGAGTCAGGAACTGTAATTCAGGTAAGTAATTTGTTAAGCATTATTAAATCTTCTTTTAACTTTCACTAATGCTTTTTTTTATAAAAAACTTCGAAAGAAATTCCCACACTCACAAATAGTTACAGCTCTTCGTTGTCATCCTTTACAATCAAATGTATTTGTTTCAGGCATGATAAAAGACGGAATACAATCTTGGGATATACGTACTAATAAATTGATTAAAGAATCGAAAAAATTTTGGGGAAGTGTTAATGATTTAGAGTTTTTCCCTGATGGGAATAATATACTCACTTGTTCTGATTACGTAGTTAGAAATGCTGCCGATAAGAACATTGTTGTGTGGGATTTTGACTCGGTATGTTTTATTATCATTTAATTTATGAATTTAGATTAAATTATACGAATTCTGATTTAAATAAATCTTTATTTGTTAAAGTTGACAGCTATATCGAATCAAATTTATCAAGAAGCGTTTTCATGTACTGCTTTGAGAATTCATCCTTTCAATAATTATTTCATAGCTCAGTCTAATGCAAATTATATCGCAATATTCGGAATGAATAAACCTTGGAAGCTAGATAAACGTAAGGTAAATTATTATTCCATTTACTCTTTTTCCTTTTTGTCTCAACATATTTAATTAATAATTTGGATTTGTTGATTTTTTTATTTTCTCCTTAATTATCTCATAATTCAGAGATTTGAAGGACATTTAGTTAATGGATATCCAATCAGATGTAATTTTTCACCCGAATCTGACTATATAGTTTCAGGTGATTCAAATGGAGGAATATATTTTTATGAATGGTCGTCTTCAAAAGTTATAAAAAAGATTGAAAATGCCCACCAAGGAATTTGTACTGATGCATGTTGGCATCCTGTATTAAACGGAATTGTTGCTAGTTGTGGCTGGGACGGTAATGTGCTCATATGGGGATAACGGGTTACAAACTTTTTATAAGATTAATGTGTAATAAAGTTTCAAGATATTTATAGCTAAATTAATAATTCAGAATTATAATACTAATTCATACGATTTTCTTGTTATCGTGTTAAAATTAACTGCCGATATCTTATTTTCCATAAATATTCCCATCCATAGGTGGATTACCATATATTTTTCCATCCATAGGCGGGATCCATCGATGAGGAAATGTTAAAGTAGGAGGGATCTGAGGAATTGTCATAATATTCGTAGTAGGTGGTTGTTTCTTTGTTTTTTGTTTCATAATGTTGCCTTGAGGTCCCAGTTTAGAAACTGAATTATCACGAATTGGAGGCGATTTAGGCCGTAATGCCTCAATTTCTATTAATAAAATATGAAATATATCAAATTTAAATTAAGGTATTGTGATTTCTTAAGAAAATATACATTACATGTACACACCATTTGTTGAACCAAGAAGATATCCATTTTGTTCAGTAAAATATGAAGCATAGGTTGCCGCATTAAAGTTTGAACTTGACAAGCTTAAACCAACTGTTAGCCATCCTGGACGGATATTATGATCCTGTTATATTGAAAATATTCTCGAATAAAATCAAAAAAAAAAACCCCTATTCAAATAAATTGAAAAACAAAACAAAAAACATACTTCTCCAAATAATTCGAGTCTTCGACGTCCAAGACAGAAATGCTCTATAATATGATATAATTCCTCGGGTTTAGCTGTGCCTACTTGAAAAGATGCAAAAAGCACCAAGGATATTTTTCAATTAAATGTTCTTAAGAACAAAATTTATTCTAGAAAGAAGATAAATAAGATTTAAAGAAAAATGAAACCGACTCCCATAATGTGGCTCTTCTGATATAATAACATCAGTATCCACGTTGCAATGTATAAAATGGCCGTCAGTACTACGTCTAACTGTTCCTTTGATGCCCATTATACAATGTTCTTTGGTACGCTGAAAAATTGATCTCGGCTCAATATGATGACTTCCATCCCATTTCTTGTTGGTTTTTATCCAAACAATATCCTCGCATCTGCGATATCCCCACTTTAGAAGTAATTGCCGCCCACGATCCAACCCATCAGCATCTCCAGACCAAATGAAAATAAATGAAGGTGTTGCGGCAGCGTCTTCGATTTTAAGATTTGCGTAAGATTGTAAGTTAAGGACAATAACTTAATTTACATTATTAAATAGAAACTACTTTATAATATATAAGGATATAATTTCATCGTAGTCCCAATAATCTAAATTAGAACCTGCAACTAATGGTGATCGTCTACAATATCTAAAAACAAAAGCTGATATAAATATTTATAATTACTTTAAACAATATATTAAAGTTTGAAATATCACTAACTCTTCTAATGGTGGATCAATTAATATGACATCGAATTTTGTCCCAAGAGACTTAAAGTCGAATGTTCTAAGATCTGCTTTTAAATATGTTGGAGGTGTAGCTCTATTTTCCACCAAAGCGTTCTTCATTCTGGTGAGCTCTTTGAGTTTAGGATATTCATCGAAACGTTGAGATAATTCAGTATCGCGAATAAAATTCTGAGGTCGTTTACCAGAATCTACAAAATGTTGACAATAGTCATTACGAATTGTTTTTTCATCCTGGTATTGATATTCATGTTGTTTTCCATCTAATGAAATTTTTTTTGGATATGGAACTTTAAATTCGAAATCATTTGTAGACTTCTTTTGAGACTTGTCAGTTTTATCCATATGTTTATTGTTCAATGAAACATTTTTATTAGTTATTAAATTATGTTGTGTCCTTTGTCTCTTTGACTTTGTGCCATATTTTTGACCCACAACCAGATCTTTAAATTCTTCTATTGAAGCTAATTGGTGTCTTCTACGCTTTTGACGTTCGCGAAGCACTATGTTTAACCGGTTGTGAGCATCTTTTAATTCTTCGACATCCACTTTATATTTATTTTCCATTCTATGAGAGAGACTTGCAAAACACGAAAAATCCGTTTAAGGTCATTGGCCCGTTCGCTTGCATGTGTTATACTGCATAAAACCTGATTTTTTCGATTACATAATATAATATCATATATAGTAATATTCAAAAATTACGATTTAATGTTGTTTAATTTCGTAATAAATTCAGAAATATGGCAGCACGTGGAGGTGTTAATGCAAAGGGTGAGAATGCACCACAGCCTGTCAAGGTACAGCGTTATTGGCCGGGAAAGGCTCCAAAAGGAGCAACAGAATATTCGTCTTCCGAGGAGGACGAAGAAGAACAACAATTTGAAAGACAGAAAGAAACAGATTTAGTAACTTCTGTTCAAAAAGTAGAGATCACTGAACAGGAAGCTGCTTCAGATCGTAGATTGAGAAGATTAAAAGAAGCAAAAGAAGGCAGTACACAAGTATTTGATCGACGAAGGAGACATTTGGAGGATGAAGAAGAGAAAGAAGATATACAAAAAGATCAATTACAAGTAATTGAAGCTTTACAAGAAGTTGAACTAGATGATGACGCCGAAATTCAGCGTCGACTACTTAAAAGAAATCGGGCGCTCGAAATACGGCGTCAAGAAGAAGAAAGATTAAAGGCTCTGGAAGAAGAAGAAAGGGCTCAAACCACAAAAGCAGAGGAGGAAGAAGAGGTAAAACCGAAACTACTCAGCTAATTGCGACCATAATTGTTGGTTTAGTAGTTTGCTTTTTTGGTGTTAATTAATAATTATTTGCAATTATTAATTCAAATTCTTTATTTTAATTATTTTTTAGGAAAGTGAAAGCGAAGAAACGTCTGAATACGAAACTGATTCTGAGGAGGAAGAGCAAACATCGAGAAAATTGTTAAAGCCTGTGTTTATACCAAAGTAAATATGAGTTCATTTAATAGAAGAATTATTTGTTAAATTTATAATTATTATTATGTATTATTAGAGCACATAGAGAAACTGTGTTGGAAAGAGAAAGAATGGAAAAATTAGAAGAGGAAGCTGAACGCAAAAGATTACAAGAACTTGAAGAAAGAAAAAAAGAATCACACGCGATGGTAGAGGAATATGTTCAAAAAGCTTTACAAAAAGAAGGTAAAAGTTAAGATTATTATCTTATCTTGCATAGAATTTCTCGATATTGTACTTTATTTTTCCTATTATTATAGTGAATGAGGATACTGGATTGCAAGAAGTTGATGACACCGATGGCCTTGACGAGCAAGCAGAATATGAACAATGGAAATTACGCGAGTTATTAAGAATTAAAAGAGATAAAGAGGAAAGAATAGCGTACGTGTTTTTTTTTAAAAAAAATCATTATGAATTTTATAATTATTATTTACTAATACCAATTAATAAAATTTAGGAGAGAAATAGAACGCGAAGAGATTGAACGCAGACGTAACATGTCTGAAGAACAACGCTTAAAAGAAGACATGGAACGAATTAAAAAACAACGCGAAGAAAAGCCAAAGGGTCAATACAAGTTCCTGCAAAAATATTATCACAAGGGCTCATTTTACTTGGTATGAGTAATTTGATCTTTATTAAATTATTTATTATTGTTAAATTTTTATTTTTGTGCTATGCATGTAGAAAGAAGATGATGAAATTCTTAAACGTGATTATACTTTATCAACACCGGATGAAGTAGCTCACAGAGAAATTTTACCCAAAGTTATGCAAGTTAAAAATTTTGGTCGCGCAGGGCAAACTAAATGGACACATTTGGCGGATCAAGACACTTCAGCAGTGAGTAAATAAATATATCATTAACGTTTATTTACGTGTGCATAATTTTTTATATTTGTATTACTTCGCAATTTATAGAAAGATGCACCTTGGAATGCAAAAACAGATATTAACAAACGAACATTATCAAAATTGGGTGGTTTACATGGAGGGTTCGATAAACCTACAGCAAAGAAAAGGAAATCATAAAATATGGATCAATAAAAATATAAATTATCTTTTTTTTTTTTTTGTTCGGAGAGGATAATTGTCTGAATTTGGTAAGTAATTTTCTTTTAATTTAGTCGATTTTATCTTTTCTCATATAATCAGTTCACGAATGAATCCATGATTTGAGAAATCTCAGCTTGATTAATCATGAAATATATTGATTACCATGAACTAAAAAAAAAGAGTTAAATTAATGAGCTTAACATATCAGAAGAAGTCGATTTACTTGAAGCTCTGTCAATTTATTATAATTACCTATTAATAATATTATTAACAAGTCAAGTATTAATCTTTCTAGGTAATATTTAATATTTGTATTTAAATATTCTAAAATAAGTAATAAATAAAATGTGTGTTCCAGTATTCTAAACAAACATCTCATTATATTACACAAACATTTGATGACCCTGAAAGCGTTTAGTATAACTTGTCCAAAATAAGCAACCACTCGATTATCATGAGTCATGACAACTACAATTCTACCAATGATCATAAGTAATGGGTCTAAGTAATGGTTATGCGCTTTAAAAAAAACGTTTTTCTTCGCGCTGCCAATTAATACATAAAAAGAAAGAACTTATATTATCATTCCAAAAAAAATTCCACTAATGAAATTGGATAATAGAACTCCACAGTATCGGACTGAGAATTCACAATGAAACATTTTTCACATGTAAACTTTTTACACTGTTTAATGTATGCCGGTATCCGCCGTACTAACTATTCAATTAATTAAAACATCTTAGCATTTTGCCGCCATGCATGATTTATGTTACACAAAATCAGAAAAATATTTTAGTGACGAAATTTGTTCTTTGAATTCGATAAAGGAGGTGCTAAGGAGGATAATTAGAAAACAAATTGAAAAGTTTGTTTCCTTTAATTTATAAAATTAATTTATAAATAATTATTAAATAATCCAAAGGGGCCAAGGATTTGTAAATTATAAATAACAAATATAGCAAATTAATAAGAGGAAAAAAAAATCATTCCCAGAATTGGAACATTAGATAGATAAGTAGAGTTGGGCTGTTCATTCATTTTCGTTACTCAATTAGCTTCTTACCACAGAGCAGTATGTTTCCTTAAGGAAATTTTTACTGAAAATCTTTCTCTTATTAAATATTCGGCTATTTTTACACTTGTCAAAAATTATACAAACACAATTTTTTTTTTACGCCCGCTACGTTTATTAGCTATTACTGCCTTTTTTTACCCGCAGTAGTTATATAATTTATTTGTCTAAACTATAATAGCTAATAATATAGGAAAATATCTACCGTTTATACAAGTAAATATTCTATTTTCTCCGGACTGTTATTCTCTCTTAATTAATAAAAAATTTTGCCAGCTGTAGAATAGAAGACACGCATAATGTTCCACTTCTCAAGTCAAGAAGACGAATTGAGTTCTCACTATGACGAAGGTAAAATGATTCGCGATTAAAACTTCTTTCTATTTTGATTATTTATCAACTTATTTACCTTTATTATAATAGAAATTTCTCGTGACACACCAGACACACCAGGTGGAATTCATGGACAATCTACTGTGGACATACCTAATTCACAAACGGAACCTGACGAAAATACACACCTTCTTCACAAAATAAGGCCTTCAAGGAAGCAAGTTTATAATTGGGCTCAGATTCAGTTGAAGTTTAGCGTACTCCCTGTTGCAGTGGTATGGTTTATAAATAAACATATCATTACATGATTATTTTTATAGATAATTTATGATAATAATAAACTTATACACTATATCATATTTCTAGGTTCTTGCTTGGTGTGCAATACCTGTTCCTTACAATGATCCTAATGATGATAGTAACATATTTTCAATTGATCACATTAAAAAACGTCTATTAGGTCTTTATTCTCCATCAAATGATACTGATTCTTATCTTAAAGATGAAAAAGTAGAGATCAATTTTTGGTTCTTTCTATTTTTCTATTATGGTATTTACAACGCCATAGCACTTTTAATGATCACAAAAATATTTGATCTTTATTCTCTTAATTGGTGGCCAAAATGGCTTGGAGGTCGTTTCGCGTATTGTGTATTTTGGCTCATGTCACTTTTAGTTGGAGTGTTGATATATTTATTTACTGGATTAGAAAAATATACTTTAACGTGGGTTTTACTCACATTTATGACAATGAATATGCCTCTTTTAGTGGCATTTGTTGTCATTCGTTCACAAAATCGAAACACTTATCGACATTCTCTTACTCTCCTTCAAAAAACATTTCTTGAACGTCAATTAGAATATCGTATACCAGCTTCTTATGTTAGATTCTTGTGGTTTTGCACCACATTGTTCCTTGTAATTGCGGCATTCATAGCTGGTGAAGCTTATGCGCATGTTTTTTTAATGTCACCTGAAACACATTCTGGCATAGATGCATTTATCTATGTTTATTCGTGGCTTGCTACTATTTATATTCTTGACACAGTTACGGAATATATTATTGAAACTAGAGTTAAGTCGCATCCCTTACAATTCGTCTTCAAACTTTACTTTTTTATGATTTACTTTATCTTTTATCGTAATCTTTTCGCCCGTTTACGTGATAGTGAACAATATATTCTTATTCAAGCCGCAAGTTCATTGTGGGTTTGCATCTTTTATCCACTATGTATGACGCGTAAAGTTCATGAGTTTCTTGTAGATTATGTTGGAATTAGAAGGAGAGATTATAATGAATATCAAAAATATTGTGGGAGATCATTTTTTATTAGAAATTTAGCAGAAAATGCTACAATGCTTGGATTTATTTGTTGGATATATATAATACATAATGGACCAAATAATCGAGTATATCCATATTTTAATTTTGAAGATGGTAACGCATTCAATTATAAGTTAACATTACGAGCAAGTTGTGTTATATGGGCATTTGAACTTGCAAGTTCTGCAATCACACGGACAATATATAAGAGAGTGTTTAATCACAATATATCACGTGAAGCCATGAAAGATTTTGAAAGTCATCCTAAAATGGTAATCACGATGATAGTAATTATTATACACGTTCTTCAAGTAAGGAACAATTATTTTATTAGTTATTTTTTTTTTTTAAGAAAAATTATTGAATATTTTTTTTTTTAATTTTTTTAAGGATATGTTATTAGCTCTCATAAGTTTGAACTTTGAAGGTGGGCATAGTAAAAAGCAAAAACCATGATGCTAAATTTGTAAGTCTAAATACTGTGAATTCAATATATGTGTATGATGAAACGGATCACTCCGGCATTTATTCTGATTCTTAAAGTGGTTTAAAAAATAGATGAGCAAAATTAGAGTATTTATTTTATATAAAGGTTTTTATGGGAAAAATATAACTGTAAAGAACGCGCTGGAAAATTAATTTCGCTTTCTTTAAAACTGTATGATTATTTTAACTCATTACATATCTAACTCATTTATTAAATCTTTCTCACTAATTATTTTATTTCTTCTCTTATTAAGTTAAGAGAAAAGAAAAAAAAAAAAATAATTATTTTGTAAAAAAAATTTACTTATTTACTTATTTATTTCCTTTGCATTTATATAACATTTAAAGAAATTTTTTTTCGCATTAATTTATAGAATAATAAATATGATATTTTAATATAATTAAAAAAAAAAGAAAATCTGTACACTGTATGTAATGATAAACAGTTCAATAAATTTTTATGATGCATTTTGTGACAATCAAACTTTTTTTTTTTTTAAGAAAAAAAATTACAAAAAAATAATTACAAATAGAAATATTTAAGATTGATTGTCTATTTATCAAAATATTACTATTATATTCACACATAAAATATTATGAAAAAACCTAAAATAATTATTAATAAAAATTATTGTTTTGATCATCGTATTCTATGTAAACCATTTTCGGTTTTTTTTTAAAAAGCTTTCTTTTTCTCATCAATAGAAATTCCTCCTGGGCCCATATTTACTAATAACAATAAACCGCCCATAATACTAAGAGTTTGAAAGAAATCGTATTTCAAGAAATCTCTTTGTGGATTTGCATGATGAACAGACCAAAAATTATTAATAATTAAATTAAAAATAGAAAGGAAAAGAACCAAGAAAGTAGCGGACCATTTAGCCTTAAAACCAACTACAACCATTATACAAGCAACAAACCCAATAACTGATATAACAGCACGAGCAAGTGACCATTCTCCGTGAAAAATAAATCCTATAAATAGAAAAATTAATAATACGCGACCTGCAAGTTGAAAATATGTTTTACGATCTCTTTCAGATAATTGTGGTAAATCAGCAAAAACTGATTTCTTTTTAGAGAATGCATCAGAAAGAACCATTAACAATCCTCCAATAACTGAAAGACTCCTTAATAAGAAATTAGCTTCACTCCAAAGACCATAACCAATGGATTGGGCGACAACAACTAAAAATAGCCCTCCAACTGCATATTCAGTATACTTTCTTTTAACAACCATGAATGAACCAACAAACATCATCTAAACAATCGAATTTAATTTTTAATTTGAAAATTTTGTTTCAATGATTATAATATATTGATAACTTTTTACTTACAATGACATTAGCAGCTAAAAATATATGTGTTATTCCCCATGGCATGCCTCTGACTTTTTCAAGATAATATAATTGATCGAACCACTGAAGCACAATTCTTAACGCGTCTTCTAAAAACGTTACTACAATTAGAAAACGAGCAATTGATGGAACATGAGGTTTCAGAGGCTGAGAAATTGTCTCAAGAAGGTCTTCAGCTTTTGATGAATACGCTTGAACTTGTTCCATTATTTAAGCAAAACTTGTAATTCAATAAAAAAAAATATGTCAAAATACGTCAAATATTATTATTCTAAAAAAAATAAATTTACTTAAGTAAAATTCGTTCAAAAACTTTAAAAATTCAACAGGCTTAAGAATAAAAATACGTTACTTTTTTGAATATTTTTTTTTAACTCATTAAAAAAAAATGTATTTAAATATCATTTATTAGAAGCATTAAAAGGAAAGAAATGTACGTTATATCTTGAATGCAGATTGTTGGGATTACGATTACCATAATTGGATAAAACAGCGCTGAATTTTAGCTTGTCGAAAAAGGACACGTTTCATTAACTCTGCCTCGTTAATCACGAGATTAATTCAGTAAGATAAACAACCAATCATGTTGCCTAATTATTGTTTGGTGTAGACCAATTAAATGATGCCACATTTTATTAAGTACTTGAATATAAAAACGCCAGACATTTAAACTCGCTCAAAATTTTCTAACCAAAACATAAGATGAAGAATATACTTTCCATATTTTTTCTAGCAGTATTACTGTTTATTCCGCTATTAGGTATCCCTTTTCATTATATATTTTTTTTATAAACATTTTCACTAGTGAGAACAGTTTATGATACTAGCTCGTCTAAAGTGAGATTGCGTTGGATAGCTTGAATAGACTTACTCCTTTATTATAATGTTATAAAGGTTTAAGTTGATTATAAATTCATAAAATATTGAGTAATTTTCTTATGTTTATTTTTTGGTTTGCAAAATAGCCTTTGGTGCTGAGAGCGAAGAAACACAAGTATATCATGCACCAAAAACTGTAGAAATTTCTGGCGAATTCACAGACAATCCTTTTAATCGTAAGTATTATTTATTATTAATTTATTCTAAAGTGATCATATTTTTGAATTAATCATAATTTTTTCTTAATATCGTAGAAATCATAAATGGCCAAAAGAATACTGTCAAACTTACATTCGATAATAAAGGAGAATCTAATTATACCATTGAAACGGTAACAGGTCAATTATTCAACAAAGATAATCCATCTGAAATTTATCGTAATGTAAGATTGCTTTCGAATATAAAAGGTTATTGAATTTTTTTCTTTATAACAATGCAGTTACAAATCAACTTTTTTCAAATATAACTAGTTGACAGCCTATAAATATTCTGTTGCCGCACCTTCCATGGATCATGTTGAGGTTAATTATAATTTCTACGCGGAATTTCCACCTCAAGAATTAGGACTCAATATTTACGTCTTTTTTTCTGATGAGGTAAACTTATATTAGGAAAAGAAAACACTATTTTCTTTTTTACTTTTCGAACTCTAATAATTTTTTAAAATCCATTAGAATGCAAAGAAATTTAGAGGTGTCGGTTATAATGACACGGTTACAGTTGTTGACCCGGAAGTCTCTATTTTTGATTTACAATTGTAAGTTAACTCAAAGTTATACAAACATATGATCTTTTTATGTTATAGGACTAATATATATATATATATATTGTTATTATTTATTAGAGTTTTCATGTACTTGATTCTTATTGGATTTTTCGGTGGTATGGGATATTTGATCTTCCAATCTTTCTTCGGCGGAGCCAAAACGAAAAAAGGCAAAAAGGTAATATAACTAATATAAATTAATATTTAACATTAATTTTTAATATTTAATTAATTTTAATTTCTTTTTGTAAAGCGTATTGTTAAAACTGAAGATAACAACTCAGAATCAGATAAATTTGATGAGAGTTGGCTCCCCGAACAACATCTAAAATCGCAAACAACTCGAAGTTCGGCTCGTATTAGGAAGAAGAACGAAGCAAAAAAAGAGTAATTAGAATTGTATCTTTGAAATATATAAATATAAAATAAATCTTTTGTCGGAAAGGGAAAAAAAGGAAACATTTTATATATATATATATATATATATATTATTATTATTATTTATTTATCTAATTATTTTATAGACATTTTTTTAAGACATATATAAAAACATATTTGAATTGAACATCACAGTTCAATAAAAAAGCATAAATAAATTCATAATAAAAATTTTAACTAATTTATAAAGTATATAAAATGACTAACTCTTAACTAATAATATATTACATACACACCATATTATAATATCCTTTTTTAATAATTTTAATAATTTAAATAATTTAAATAATTAAATCACTTGAATTGAGTAATTGTTACAAAACTCGTTACAAAAGTCAAAATCCGGATCCAATAGATCGGTACGTTGACGTTTATTATCATCTTGTGAGACGGAATCCGCATCATCATAATCATTATCATCATTATCACAATCATAAATATCATTATCATAATCATAATCAAAATTGTTATCATAATCATCCGATGAATGTTTACGTTTATTTTCAATATTCTTCTGAGAATTATTTAATAGTAATTTATTTAATCGTTCTTCGTATATTGATTTTAACTGAACCGAAAGTTTTTTATAATGAAGAATTACTTCTTGTGGTTCACTATCCCATAAATGACGCGCCAAGGACGAAAGTTCCAACTGAGTAAGTTTTATTTCTAATCTCTCCATATATTTAGTAATATATGTTTGATATACCGTGAAACCACTATCAAAGCATAATATATAATCATCAACATTTATATCGGGTGGAAATTTCGGTCTATAACATTCATCAATTAAATGATTAAAATAATCATTATACGCGTTTTTTAAATATAAGTTATCATTACAAAGTTTTATAAAATCATAAGATTGGTTAATATGAACCAAATAATATCTAAAACATGGATTTTGTAAAGGATGTTTAAAAGATTTATTATTTAAATCGTAATCTTTGAATATTTCCATAATTAATAATTATAAGAATCTTTTTCATGAAAATAATAATTTAACGAATTCTTTCTGTTGTTTTATATATACTAATTAGCGAACTTAATATTTATGAACTTTAAATCGGACATAACCGGATTATTTAAAAAATAATGTTTCAGAAAATGATATATTCTCTTTTTAGGCTTATTCGGCTGATTATATGAGAGGTATTTCTAAGGTCAAAATAACCTGTAGATCATCTGTTACACGTGAGTATATCCTGTATGATTTGCATGTGCATATTTTAAAAGAAAGAAATTTGGGATTTTGATAATTAATTTGGCAAAATTGAGATAACATTTCATTTACTCGTCATGAGAAAATAAAGGAAATTTTTTTTTAAAAAAAAATTTCCGGTTTAACACATTCTCACGCCAGTTATGTTATGTTATGGTTTCATAGTAAAGAAATTCTATTTTCTCTAAATTTTTTGTATAAACTCATCTTTTTTTCTTTTTTTTCTTTTTCTTTATGGGAATTTCTTTTTCTACTTCATATTACATGACATAATTGTCTTGGCACATTTTCGACGCGAAAATATTCTTCATGACATAATTTTTTTTCTCTTTTCGCATCTCACATCTCACATTTTAACAACTAAATTAAGAAAGTAAATTTCAACTATTGTTATAAATTACTATATTTGAAGAAATAATACTTAAATGCGTTAATAGAATAAACAACAAAACTATAAACATTGTTTATAAAATGCCTGTTTATATGTTGTATCACTCACTGATAAGATATTTATTCGGAAAAAAAAAGATACTAAAATAGAAAAAAAAAATTATGTCATTGTAAGGTTTTAAAGTTAAATATTATCAAAAGGTTGATAAAATGATAATGTTGTATTACAAATAATGATAACAGTCAGATAATATGTTCGTTCTTTTTTATCTGCGTATTTTTAATTTTAACATGATTTATTTGTCATTTTTGATGTAGTATTATATCACTTATTTTTTTTTTCGTTGTTTATAATGATGCATCTTTATTATTAACTACTTTATAGTTTGGATTAGTAAAAGATATGATCAGTCTTTAGAGGTATCTAATTATTAATTTTGAGTAGAATTGGGAAATTGTGATTTGTGTCTTATAACAAATTAAAACACCCTTTGTTTACAAGAACGGAGAAACTAAGGGTGTACAGTGATGTTACAGTAATTAAAGGGTAATCACATTAGGACAAAAGATAATAATAATTAACTGCTAATAATAATAGTTTTAATACAATATTAATTCTTTCATACCTCCTGATATTATTCTAAATGTTATTATATTACATATTACTAACTTTTGTTATTTCAAATTAGAGATAATTATTATTTAACTTTATTATATTATTATTTTATAACAATAACAATATTGATTACCCTTTTTTGTATTATTTCTTTTTTATTTCCTTTTATTAATTCATTTCTTAAAAGCTAATATAAAAATTCACAAACTGTAATATTATAAATAACCTTTTTAATATATAATATATAGCTGTTATTATAAAAAAAACTCAAATAATACATATATAAATAAGTAAATTTATTTAAGAATCTTAAATAATAAAAAGGAAAAATATCATTATTAGCAATTTAATCCTCATAATAATCTTATAAAATCAGCTAATAAAATTAAAATAATGTAATAATCATAATCAATATTTTAATTGATTATTATTATATATTTTAAATACTACATTACCTTACCTTTCTTCAACTTTTTGCTTTTCTTTTTCTTCTTTACAGAGCACTTACGAGAAGTGTGTCCAAATTTACCACACTTGGTACATTTTTCTTAACGGCACTTTTAACAGCAGATTTGATAGCCTTTATTGTAGCATTATTTAGTGTCATGCCGGCCATACTGTCAGTAATATCATCCATAGAGTCATAATTATAATCATTGCTAGGGGCTACATTACCTTTTTCTCTTAGTATATCATCTAAAAAATGTCTAATAATAAGGTCTTCTGCTTTCTTATTAGCTGATTTTTTACTATTACCTAGAGTCTTAGTTGCTCGAGACATAGTCTCTTAAAAGGATTTAGCTATGGCTTCTTGCAAATCAGCCTTAGTGATATTTTCCTGGCCAGAAGAAGATACTGGTGATAGATTTAGCACCGATTGTTGTAATGACTAGATCCTACTATTTACAATCCTATCAACATCTTTTGTAGTAATATTCTAATGGGAAGGTACTTTTGGCTTTGTTTTAAAAACTGGTTGGTTATAAATATCCTCATTCAGAAGCAAATTACTCCTTTTCGTTTCAATCTCTTCCAATGTTTCAATCAATTCATCATTTAAAGGTCTGTTTAAACAGGACCCCAGAAAATACTTATATAGGTAAGGTCCCAAAAATTTTTTTTATTAGTAGCTCTAAGTATAGGTTTTTACTATGATCGCTAAGCATTATATCTAACCTTAAAAATTATATAAAAATAAGCAAATCAATCTTCTAACCTAATTAAATTTTTATTATAACACATATAATTTATAAAATATATTTATTAATTAATATATTTTATTAAATTCAATTTTAAATATGTTGTGAAGCTAAACTAAACATAATATACAAGTAGATTAACAATATTCAATTAATAAAGTTAATAAACAGTAAAAGAAAAATCCAAAATTAATACTATTACAAAAAATGTAAATTTCTCTATAAGTATTATACCTGTCTCTTATACACATCTAGATGTGTATAAGAGACAGACCTTACTTAAGCATAAAAGATAATTTGATATAACCAAAGTGGTAAGTAGTGAAATTATATTTTAAAGTAAAACATATTTACAGTAATTTTATTTAACAAAATAAACATGTATAATATAGTAATTTTATATTAAAAATAATACACTGAGTTTAATAAAAATTAAAAGATACTATTGAAAGATAATTAATAAAACATTGAAAAAATAAACTGAAATTTCATTAAAAAAAAATTTTTGTTTGTGTATTTATATAAAATTATGAAATGTAGTACAAAATTAATACTCACCGTTAGCGAAAATAAAATAAAAATTAATTATAAATTCAATATATAATATTTTAAAAAGTTATATAAATATAAAAAATAAGCAACTAAAAACTCTTAGTATTTTAAAATAATACCAAAAATATGCAATTTAATTATCTTACATAGTATAAAATTTTTTCAAAATTAAGCATTATAAAATTCTTACATCATAAAATTTTTCTATGTTGACTAAGCACCTTGGTACCTTACATATATAAGCATTTTCTGAGGTCCTGTTTAAACCCAGATGCTTCATTTCCAACTTGTTTTCAGGAGACAAACCACGTATAAATTGTATTCTTTTTTCATGATCAGATATTCTCGTCCAGTTAGCATATTTGTTTATCTTTCTATAGTAATTTCTAATTGAATCAGATCCTTGAGTCAAAGTACCAAAGATCAATTCCTGTTGCTCTCAAACAACTGTGAGATAATTCCTTTTAAACCAATAAATGACGACTAATGTTGATATCAGAAAAGACTATATGATTATTATTATTTAAAGCTCCATTTGGTGCATTAGTTGCTGTACCGGCGTCCACAGGACATCCTCCAGTGAGAGACCAGTCCTCATCCGCGTGAACATTATATGCTGAAATAACTGTAGCACCAGTAGCGCCAGCTGGTAATGCTGGTGCTAAAGTACCATCTGGTGCATTGATCATGGCCGCTATTATTTGAGCATTATTTAAGCCCACTATAGCAGCCATATTTGTTAATACATTCTCACATCTTACATGATACAATTGCCATTTTTTACCTACAGTGCATACAACTTAGTCCCAGCAATTAAATTTGATGAAATTTAAATCACTACTATTCATTCAAAAAAAAAGATAAACATAAAGTATAAACATACAATGATAAACCAGATTAAGCTTAATAAAACTATGTTTTTAAATTTCCTGTAAAGTATTTTTTAATAAAGTAGTAGCAATTCAAAGTTGAAATATTTTACTATTAAATTAAATATTTGGCCGCTTTATTCTGACCAGAATTACATGTAAGTCTGGCCAAAATTACTTTTGTTTAATTATTAACTATGTAAATTTGGCTAGAATTAAGAATTATAACTTAAATTAAATAAATTTGACCAATAAAATTATAGGATTAGTATTACATAATGTAAAAAATTTGCCGCTTAAAAATTTTTTTGTTGGGACTAGGTTGTATGCACTGTATGAGTCTGTTTTCAATCCAGCGTAATGCTTCATCTGTCAAGCATGACCGAAATAGTTCTAAAGCTCTCTGTTTACCACCTGCATTAGCAGTAGTAATATTGGCCGCCATAAAATGGAGTCTGTAGTCTTTTATGAATTCATCTATATTTTCATCCGCTCTACCTGAGAATCTTTTTAGTGTATATTCTGCCATCCCTAAATGTAAAAGATTATTTTGTAATGCGAAAATTTGTCCCTGCAAATTTAAAATATTCTGGCATTCTGCTCGAGTCTTATTTTTCCATTTCTCATATCACTCATAGAGCCTGTCACGATTATACTCTAATAAACCTATATCTCCTTTACATCGCTGTAGGTGGTAGACATTTCTCTGATACAATAACTGTAAGGCAAATTTTTCCCGTAATAATACACCAATATGGGTTCGCTTTCCTGTTATATTACCTAAGGTTGCTTGCTGAAACCTAGGAGTTTAGGCAAGATGGCATTTCACCAAAAAGCGAAATTCTGCCGAAACTATATTAAAGTTATATTAAAAAACTGGCGAAACTTTGGAGAAAGGCGAAACTGCTGAAACTTATTATAAATGCCGAAACTGCCGAAACTTTGCTGAAACTATAATAAATCTATAGTAAAATTTTGACGAAACTAATCATAGGATTTTGAAGAGGTTTAGACAAGTAACCTTAATATTACCTAACATTCTATTTACTTGACTTTGGGCATTAGCCCACAACTG